CCATAAGACTGTCTAAGTGTGCTTTATTTTTTTCCTCAAATATTTCAGGTCAAATCCTTTTAGTGTATTGGTACAAATACATTTTTAAAAAATGTAAATAAAATAAATATGCCAAATTAATTGTCTTAAGCAGTGATGGGCAAATTATGGCCTCCAAATATTGCAGTCCAACACTTCCAGCCAGCATAGGCAGTGGGGTGGGGTGATGGGAGCTGTTATTTTTATTGTACTTTAATATGCTGGACTTTAATGTATTGTTTTATTGTTTTAATCCATTTTGACTGAAAGGTGGTAGGTAAAGGTAAAGGTTTCCCCTTGACATTAAGTCCAGTCATGCCTGACTCTAGGGGGTGGTGCTCATCTCCGTTTCCTAGCCGAGGGAGCCAGCGTTTGTCCGCAGACAGTCTCCGTGGTCATGTGGCCGGCATGACTAAACACCGAAGTGCACAGAACGTTGTTACCTGCCCACCAAAGTGGTACCTTTTTATCTACTTGCATGTGCATGCTTTTGAACTGCAAGGTTGGCAGGAGCTGGGACGGAACAATGGGAGCTCACCCCGTTGTGCAGATTCGAACCAGCGACCTTTCGATCTACCAGTCCAGCAGCACAGCGGTTTAAACCACTGCACCACCTGCAGTCCCTGAAAGGTGGTATACAAATCAAATAAATAAATGAGTTGCCCATTCTAGGTTATCCAAGTATTTTCTGATGCAAATTTCATTTGAAACATTTCCAATTCTCTCTTTTTTGGGGGGTGGAGTGGTAGGAGGTGAAAGAATCCATTTGCCTGATCAACATAGCAGCAAACTGAGTTGTTCACAAATTTCTTCCCATTCAGGGTATATGTGCAAATATATTAATGTGCTGAAAGAAAAAGGAGACAGACAAATGAGGGATTAGCATGTTTATGGTCCTCAAGAAGCAAGGAATGATGAGGCTAAAAGTATCTGGGAACAAGCTTCGAAGTATCCCCAGTAAAGAATTCAAATTAGGACTGGGGAATGTGGCCCTACAGATTGACAGCACCTTCCTTTTCACCATCCCCAAGTCTCAACAGCTACCATGACAGGGAAATTAAAATACAGAACCAGACAGCTAAGACCCAGGAATAGACTCCGTCAGTCCAAAGCTCAGCACCCTTGCCCTATTCAAAAGATTTAGTCCCTTTCATCTCTCCCCATTCCAGTTCCCCCAAGTTATTATTCTTACTGAACTATGGAACCTGGTTGGCTGCAGAACTTTCTGATGCATGTAATGCTTGTGGCCATTCATTTCATCCCTACAGGTCAATGGTTTGACCTTCAGTGGCTTCATTCCTACACTATCATAAGATGCATGGCTGCGGCATGGAGCTCACCATGTCCAAAGTAAGAGGACAGCATTATCTGGGCATCATTTCCTTTTGTAAGGCTGACCTCCAAACTGGTACATTTCAGGACTGATGGACCTCATGAGGAACTACCTTCAAAACACAACTCAACTGCTTTGTGAAATACCACCCAAAAAGAAAATATCAACCTATATACAGGTTGCTTCTCATCAACGTGCAGCAAATGCCTGAAACACAAAGCAGATACCACTTTCATATAATCTTATTTACCAGTATGTTCAGCTAGACTCAGAGATGTATTTATATACAGCAATATCTAAGCAACATGGCAGCAGGCTCACAGCAAACTTGTACTTATTTTGGTAGGTTGATTGTTTCAACTATAAATAAAATTGGAAATCAAACCCAGACAGGATGTTTAGCCACTCTATAAAGGCAGGAATGGATACATTTTTCAACAAAGCTTTGGTTAATTGAGGTGAAGCAGGCTTGGGGGCAAGAAGGTGAAAGGAGAAGCAATGCTTCAGGTAAGGGCCATGATGCAACTTTTCCTGTGTTTCAGTAACTATTATGTAAATGAGCTTTCAAACTATTAACACACCCACAAGTTTGGAGTAAACACACTGATCAAAAACACTGAGGGGGTAAGTATAAGAAAAAATGCAGGATTATGGAAAGCCACACTTTAAAATACATCTCAGTCCCAGTGGTGTCTGTTGTCCTCTGTAGATGTGCACATTCATTCCATGAAGATCTGAGAAGCCAAAACCCAACCTGCCTTAATATGATCTCCTACAACTAATTAAAAATAAAATATCTCTCATAAAAGATAGAATAAGGTGAGATCTAATGCCATATGAATGGACTTCCTTTTCCATGAAGGGCCTTTTCCCTCCTCTCCAACTTCTTACTCCTCATCATGCAATCCAGTTTAAAGGTCCACCAAAGATTTCAGGGTCCTGGGGGTTGCAGCAGGAGAGGGGACGGACTTCTTTCCCATTATCCTGAAGAAAGCTACTCCCTCTGCATAAGGCCAAAATTGGATACAACCCATAAAGTTTTCATAATTAAGCACTGTTCCTTAGTAGGCTCTCGTATCAAAATTACTATGCAATGCTGTTATAGAAAAGAAAGAAAAAAAGTGAAGGACTATCAACCAAATAATTCGCTGCAGTTTCTCTTTTGTATTTAAATCCACATGTGCTGAGAGGGGCAGGCAGATGATTATAAATGTTTTCCTGCCAAAGTGTTCACTCAAGTTTAGGCTAAAATCCAATTGTGTCAACAACACAGTTTATTGGAAAGAGGCCTCTTCCTGAGCTTTTAGTGGGCCTGCTTTGAACTCCCACAGACAACTTCCACCTTCTTCAAACTCATACCACTTCTCCTCAGGCAGTTGATGAAGCACACCAAATAGCAGAAAATCTGCTTTTTCTTTTTTTACAGAAAAGTCTCACAGCTGAGTTGCTAACTTAGAAGGGATTAGGTCACAAAACAGAAAAGGGGAGACAAGACGTGTGGTACTTCCAAGCAGCAAATATGATAGGAAAACAGAACAGAGAATGGAAATGACCTTGCTGACCAGCCACCAGTACAAGGAGGAGGCGGCAATTTTCAGTGGTTCCCTCCCTCTTCTCCAACCAGCTTTGGATAATTCCTCTGGAGAAAATGTGGCAGAAATACAGGGGCTGCCAGATAAACTTTGCTTCAGAGAGCCTCCCAGCCCTTTCTGCCTGCTGATGCTTTCGTTCCTCAGCAAGGTGACAACCATCAAATGCAACTCTGAAGAGTTCTAAATGGAGTTCTACTTTGCTCGTTTAGTTACTACATCTATTTTGACTCTTCAACATGTATTTATACGGTTGTCATTAGAAGAAAGATGTTTCCAAGGTTTCTCACCAAGGTTTCTCACCACGTCTTGATGAAGAAAGTTAGGATTATGTACAACAGTCTGACAGTATTTCCAACAGGAGGCCTACTCATTAGCATGAAGCAGAAAAATATGTCTGAAGATGTGCCAGCATTGTTCTGGTCACATCAACTAGGAATCCTAACAGTTGTAAACATTTGTGGTTTTTTTGGGAAGTATCAATTTTGTGGCTCTTCCAGCAATGCCACCATGAGGGAACCCCCACTTGGGCCTCAAAATAAATGCTGTTTTTGCATAACAGAAAGATGCAAATGAGGGCTTGCATATGTTAATATGATTCTTTAAAGGTGTGTTGCTTGCTTGAAATCTAAAACACAAAGGAGCAAATGTCTAGGCCCAAAGGACTGTTCTTGATATGGGACTTAAAACTGAGACAAAACATGAGTTAAATCATGCACAAAGAAAAATTAAGTGCAGTAACACATTGGAATCTGAAAATATAGCCTAATTAGAGCTAAGCAGAGCTTTTAGGAAGCAAGTCGGGAACATCCGATACACAGGACTAGGATCCTGATTGCTGTGTGCACACTCAAAGTGCTACACGGGAGCAACTATTTATGTATGTATGTATGTATGTATGTATGTATGTATTTATTTAAAACTTTTATATGCCGTCCCCTATGCACAGCATCTCAGGACGGCTTACAAACTACCACTGCTTTCCGCAGCATTCGTGTGGCTTGGGATCTCTTGCTTGACTTCAGGGAGGGCAACAGTGAAGAGCGGGTGGGCGGGTGCAGAAGCATCCGTTTCTAACCCGCATAAAAATTCTCGGGCAAGTTCCCACCAGTTCGGCTCCTCAGCTGCGCACGTCCAGCATCTTTACTAATACTGCATGCCAAAACTGTGCAAGGCGCGGCGGCGGAGGAAACGAAAAGAAAAACGCACGGAGAAGGCAGGAATGGAAATACGGCTGGCTCTCCCCGAGGGCGGAGAAAAGCGAGCGTCGACTTCGATCCCTAAATTCAGTGCCGTCCTGCCCAAATAAGGACTACGGAAAGGTTAAATCGTCTCCGTTTCGCGAAGCCGAAGCACCTCGGGCTCCCAACGGCACACCCCGGGGCCACGAATAAACACCCTGGCCGGGCTCCAGCAGCTTGCAGTCTTTGCGGGGCAGCCTCCCCAACTTTGTCCCGAGGAAAATGGAGGCGGCTCCGTGCCGAGAACTCCCCAGCGCCCGGCTCCCGGCTGAGTTCCAACTGAAGGCTGCTCCGAGACTCCGGCCATCCCGGGGTGCTCCCCTCCCCGCCGGACAGCAGGGCGCACAACCATGCACTCAACTGGAAAAGCCGGATAAGCGGCAGGCTGGCTTCGCATCTGACTCGACCCCGTCCGGGGCGCGGATCACGCCCGCGTGTGACCCGCCGAAAGCACCCGAGCGGCCCATCCCAAGTAAGTCCGACTCTTTCTCCCACACGGCTCGACAGGCACGCGCCTCCCTTCCCCGGGCAGGCTCCGCCGAGCCCCGGGCGCGGAGCGACCCCTCCCGGCTCCGTCGGGGCACCCGCGCGCGGGAGCTCGCCGCCCTCCAGGAAAAGGAGCGAAGAAGGAACGCTTCGACTCTGCCTGGCGCTGCCCCGGCCCCGATCCCGCCCGCGGCCGGCGACTTCGCAGCGGCACCACCGGCTCGCCTGGAGCGTCCCCAAGTTCGGAGCGTGGCAGCGCAAGGCGCGCGCCGCCAGGACGGCGGGCGCTCCGCTGGGCAGGACGACGGCGCTGCCTCCTCCCAAAGGACCTACCTTCTCCTAGAGGCCAGATCCGGGATCCTTCCCCTCCCGCGCTCCCGCTCGCTCGGCTGCAGGGCTGGAGTGCCCCGCGCTCCGGCTCCCAGCTGCTCCTCCAGCAAGCGGGGCGACGGAGCCGGTGGTGAAGCCCCCTGGCGCGCAACAGCAGCAGCAGCAGCAGCTCCCGGAAAAGGACGCGAAAACTGTGCGGCGGCTGCCCCGCCGGGCTCCGCTTCAGAGGCGCTTCGCTGGAGCGGCTCGGACTTACTCTGCCTTCGCCACCACCAGCAGCAGCAGCAGCAGGAGGCGCGGCGGGGCCAGCCAGCTGTGAGCCAGAGGCGGGAGAGCAGCGCCACGTGCCCGCCGGAGCCAATGGCGAGAGGCGCCGCCGAGCCTCCCTCGCTCAGCCCGCCCTCCCTGCCACCCCATGTGATCAGGTGAAGAGCTCAAGTCCAGGCTTTGGGGCTATCGTGGAGAAGAAACCTGCAAGAAGTAGTGTGGTGTCCGCCAGGTGACGAACGCGCGCAGGTAGAGAAGGAGTTTCTGTTGCTGGTGGCCTCTCTCTCCGGAAACTTTTTTATTCCCCTGAATGCAAGAAAAGAGCTTGATTGGGAAAGGAAAGAAAAAGCTTACAGGTGCAATGGAAAGGGAGGCACAGAATGGAGGAAGCAGTAGAGTTTAAGAGCAAAATCCGAAATAAGGGATTCGATGAAAAGTCAGTTTTGTACCATATAGCCCAGCCCAAATATACCCTGCTGGCATGGCAGGCCTTGTTCCTCTGAACAAGTCCTGCTGTGTGGGGGAAGAACAGGTCCAGTCCACTGGTTTTCCCCAAGGTGGTGCCCCCAGGATCTTTTGGTCTCTAGGACCCATGGGTTGGCTTGGAGCTGCAGTCCAATTCATCTGCAGCACTCGAGGTCGGGTAAGGCCGTGTATAAGGTGGCATTGCACAGCAGCAGTATCTCAACAGTGATGCTGCTAGCGATCTTTAGCCTTTGGATCTTTCCCTGGCCTTGTGTCCTCCAGATGTTTCAGACTGCAATTCCCTACATTCCTGGTTGTTAGCTGCCCCAGCCAGGACAGGTGGGAGCTGAAGCCCCAAACACCTGGAGGACTCCAGGTTGGGGAAGGCTGGACTAATGAGCACTCAGCAAGGACCCTATGCAATGTCTGATACACTTTAGTGGTGTGCCCTAAATGTCATGCTTAACATTAGGCTTAAAGTGTACTTCGGGCCTAAAAAAGTGGTTCCAACCCTCCCTGCTCCGGCCAGCAGTATTAAACATGTTTCCACAGCTGAAGAAGCTGTGGCAGTTAGAGTTCCTGAATAAATTGTGTACTTACATGATCAGGAGCATCTGTTGTAACCATATAGGGGAAGGGCAAATGACATATCCAGTTACTGTATGTTCCATTCCTGTAGGAACTTCTGTCCATCTTCCTACAGTCTAGAAAATGACAGCCTCCCCAAACTGCATTTTCTGGCAAATCCAGGTATTAATTTTGTGCAAGGTTTCCATTGGTTTATTTAAAGTATTTATAGGATGCACTGTACTCACAAGGAATGCATACATGAACAAGACACATCAGAGACAGCAAATCATAATACATTCCAAACATTAAAAAACTGTAGTAGGCAAATGTGTTACAAAAATGAGACCTGAAACAGATAAGATTATATGATCTGTTGAAATCAGAAACTTAACACTTAATCCTAAAATGGGGAAGGTAGATATGACTTAAGGCGAGGTCTGATTTAGCATTTTCTTCTGTTTGGCAGGCTTCATTTTATAACACAGTATGCTTTGCATGGATATAAAAAAAGTAAAGCTCCATACAAAATATTTCCCCTTAGAATCGTCCGTGTAACAACCCAGGAAGACAGTAGCAAAAATGCATATCTCCTCAAAACCACCAGTTTTCAGCTTATTGATACTTAGTAACTCTTTCTGATTCTGATATGTTCAGTAGTTCTGCTAAGAACTCCACAATACAGCAAGTTTTAGGCATTTACTAAAATGTTTACTTTGGATTTTCCCAGCTGTGAGCTGTCTTTGGAACAAACTCTGATGTAATACTTTTGTTTATTTTATATGTTCAGTTGAAGACTGCTTTAGAATTTCTTCAATGACAACGGATATATAAATATTGTTAATACTAATTCTGCACAGGATTACATCCTTTGAAAGTTATATCCAAGGTCTCCTATCTGTAGAAAAAGTAGGTGTCTGCATTAATGAAAGATCTGAACACAATTCATATTTGTATCTCTTTAGGGATTTATATGTCTACCCTTCAACAAATTCCCAGGGCAGTCTCCAAAATACTAAAATTACAAAACAAATTTTATTTATTTGAATAAAAATAAATCAAAATGAATGCTTTAAAACAACTCATTTTAAAAAAGCTGGAAAAGCACTCTGTAGAAATTAAAGTTTAAGGAATGTAAAAGCAGTTTGATTTTTTTAAAAAATGAAAAGCCAGAAAAAAATAAGAATCTTGGCCTTCCCTGAGGACAGCACTCTACAAGCAGGGTGCCATCACTGATAAGTCCCTTCCCTCAAAGGGCAGGAGTACCATGGAGAGGAGATGTCACTTTCTGTAGTCCATTGTTTTCGAGGGGGGCTGCTATGTATGCAAGAAATTGGCCTGTCCTTGTTGGCACAATAGATGTCTAATAAAATATTGCCCCTTATTGTATATGTAATCAGAGCTATAGTTTCGCTGTCAGAGTTTCAGGTCATGCTCCAGGGCCAATTCCTATAAATATACCTGATTGACCATCCCTGCACTTCTAGGGCAAATCTCAGTGTTAATATGTTGCTTTCAGCAGAGCCCTTCACTATTTCATGGAACTCAGATGTACTTTTCAGGTCATTACAACCTTGTTCTATGTTCAGAAGTTCCAAATAGCATACCTGTCTCTGCATTGCTATACTATGCACACACCTTTCTGTGTGTACTAAAAGGATCAGAGTTTATCCTTTAACACTGCTATATAGTAGTAGTTTTTAGGTAAGGACTGAAATACAAAGCAGGTTAAGCAAAGCTCTTGGGGTTATTGAATACATGTGTGTGCATGTGCACCAAACCAATTAAGCCAGAAATGGAGGTTCACAACACAAGTAAATCCTTGATATCAAGTTCTCTAGCTTTTAAAAATAATTCATCTTAATATGATTTGTTTTGAAAATGCAATAATGGGAGAAAAATGGAATGTGGGAGGCAGAATTGTATTACAATGTTAAAAAACCTGAAAATTATTTATTTCTGAGAGCAACCATTTAGAAATCAGTATAAAAGAACTTCTCAGCCTGCTGCAGTGATAAGTACCTAACAATGTGAGACTTTGAACCGGCAGTAAGTACAAACCACGAATATTTCCAAGAATGTCATTGCTGCTTAAAAGGTAAAAGTAGCTGTGTTAGTCAACAGAAAGTGCTAAAATCCATATTAGCATAATACGTTTATTAAACCAACTCAAAGGTCACAAAATACCATGCAGACTTACGAGTTCTTCAGAACTCTTCATCGGGCAAGATGATAAACAAAGTGTGTATGGTAAATGGGCAGGACGGAGGTGGGGGAGTAAAGTCTGCATTTGATTACAGTCCGAAGGTAGCTTGTGGAACTGGACTGCAGTCATTCAAATTAGCTATTTAAGGGTGCAATCACATGCATATTTACACAGAAAAACAGTTTTACAACAGCAAGCATACCCCCAACTGGCATGAACTTTTAAAATCTACACATGCATAAAATGTCAGTCTAACTTTGCTAACTTCCCAGCTACATACCAATTTGTAGCTTGCTTTTACATAGATAGATTGTATTTCTGTGTTCATTCTGTTTTTTCCGGCAATGAGGACGAGTGAGGTAAGTTTACCCTAATGAATGTTGCTTATGCATTTGCTTTGAGATATTCATCTTGTGAGCTCAAGACCGGTTCTACTGTATTGAAAACTGACATATATATTGGCTTTCACAATAAAAATGCCATGTGGTCATCATAAGATTTAACTTCCTTTGGTGTAAGTAGCAGAGCAGAAATGTGTGGCACTTTTCAGATTCATAATCCAATCTGAGCATTTTCTACTCTCTGCATTGGGCACAAACCAGCCAAAGTTATGCTGGCTTAATTTCAGTTGATGTGGGAAGCATATAGCTAAAACCTGGAATCCTGTGCACTTTTACCTGAAAGTGAATCCCACTGAACTCAGTGGTATTTCTTTCTGTCCTGAACTGCAGAATTACATAGTAAACACTTAACTAGGAGTGCATTATGGCCATTTGTCATGTCTTGCAATTTCTGAAACCAGTGTTTGCTATGCACATTCACTTTTCCTCTAAAATTATTCTTCTGAGTTCCTGAGTTCTGCATTTGTCAGGAAGAGTGTGCTCAGAGAAGGCATATTCACAAACAAGCGATAGTGCCGAGGAAAGCACAGCTTGTGCTTCATTGTGCAACTCAATATCAGAGTCAGAAGCAACTCAGTCAAGGGAATCTGGTCTGACAGCATCATAAAACAGAAGACAGAAGCTTTAGTCATTTTCCATATCAACAAGAATCTTAATATACCAAGGATACCATTTTTATACATGAATGATTTCCTTTGGCCTATCCACCCAGTGCACAAGAAAGCATGATTATAATTTAAGAACATTTTCTATCTATTTTGACTTCTCATCACCAAATGTGGTTGCCACATTGGATAAGCCGTGGAGCAGATGCAGAATCCCAAATGTTTGGCTTTTCCTAGATGATTGAATGATAAGCTGCATTTGTTGCTACTTGTCATACAGCGGTTTGAAAATGAGCGCACCACAGTGAGTCAGAAGACTTATCTGTGATGCAGAAGCATTCATTCTTAAGAGGGGATAATGGTGAGCTAAGGTCTAAGTTTGCATTTACATTTGGTCTGTGAAGACATTTTGCATTTGCTATACACAGTTTTATCCATGTTGACAACCAAATACATAATTTAATTATGGGGGAGAAGGGAAGTCAGACTGGAGGAAGCCTCTGTATTCTCACTCTAAGCTGTAAACTTGGTGTTCTGGAAGTGGTACCATTCTGCGGGGCTGGCCTAGACTCTCACTTTTTCGAAGGGGCAGGGGGAAAACTAAATCAAGAATAAGACTCACAAAGGATGCACAAAAGATTTTGTAGAAAGGGAAAACTCTTCCTTCTCCCCTCACCCCATATAACTAAATACTTCAGCTGTGTCCAATTTATCCATTACAAGAACTTTATGTAGGCATAACTCTGTAGA